GCACAAATTATTTGGAACCATTGTAATGAAAAATTATAACTGCTTGTATTATTATTTTGAAAAAACAAAGTCTGCAAAATTAGTGAATTTTATATGTTTAAAATCTGAATAAAAAAAATCAGTATTATATATTTCTTACAAATTAATTTCCTTAGCTTAGCTTAGTTTTTATTAACGTCACACTAGGGCTATTGGCGACGGACTTCGTAATTTTGAACCTCGGTCAAGTGACGAGGACGACACTTGAGCTGACATCCCCCTCTCCTAACATCCACACCACGTCAACGGGAGGACTTTGGGTCCCAAACAGATTTAACGTTCATCAGCCCAGGGTACACGGCGGGTCTTTGGCGGCCATGGATCGAACCTGTGACTGAACGAAAACCGCCGGCCGCTTGTTCACGACCTTGACCACTAGGCTACCGCGGCCCTAATGTATTTGGCCCTAATTCTTATTTGTAGCATTTCAGCAATTTAGTATAAAAATATTGTTTTTAGTTACATGCATGATGAATTTCAAAACAATCAAATGTATTTCTCTTTATTGCACTTTTGTTTATTGAAGTTCCTTATGAAATTTTTAATGCAGAAAGCGTGTGTATCTCATTGTACGAGTAAGTAAGTGGCAGAGGCGTTACTATTCTTTTCAACGTCCGGGTTATTGAAGATTTCCAGCCCCTTTCTGTTTGTCAAAATGCAGTGGAGATGGGAAAGAAATTTTTTAAAAATTTTATTAAAATATATTAAGGGAAAAAAATCTTTTATTTTAAATAGGCACTTTTAGGCATATATTTTCAAAGCTTAACTAACTTTATAAAGATAGAATGAATTAAAATAATTAAGACAACAGTGGTAGCTCAAAAATATAATTATTCTGAAAAATTATTCAAGTATAACATTGCAAAACCATTACATTACATATTATATTTATTATAACTTGAAAATTAACTTGGTATAAAGTTTAAAAAAAAAAAAAAAAAAAAGCAGTTTGATTGAATTATTAACTTCAAAGAGAAATTTTCGTAGCCTTTGCTGCTGCAAATTAATCCATAAGTTCATCAAAATGTATGATGCGGGTAACCGCCCGCTCTGCAGTCTGACAAGCCAAGGCTGATTATCTTTCCAGTGCCATGGATGGTATAGGGCAGGACAAATAAGTTTTAATTTACTAAAAGACCTTTCCCAACTGGAGATTCAGGTTTCAACAGTTAGAAAAACTGAGTATGCGAATGGACTGCATAGTTATGTTAACGTTTTTCAGCCATCCAAGGGGCTATTGTTTTAATTAACCCAAAAAGTGTCATACCTGACCAATTCTCAAAAAATTTATCTTGTTTTTGCGTAATTTTTGATGTCTGATTTCACCAGTTAGGAACTTAATTTTCAAAAATGCGTCATAATAAATTTCTCCGGAATTTTTTATTGTATTGAAATAAAATATATGTAATATATGTTTGATACTAGCTTTCACCACTAATGAACTCAATTTTCAAAAATATGTTGCAATAAATTTCCCCTAATTTTTTAATTAGATTGAAGTGAAACAAATGCAAAAATTAAATATTTTATTTACTTATCGATTTATGTATTATCTTAAATCCTATGGTAACTGGAATCAAGAGATGACAGAAAACAAATAACATTATTCAGAATTTTAAGACAGCTTTTTTTTTTTGCCTCAAGAATCTCACAAAGTACTTCTTTTTAGTTAATATTCCTTCTTGGTATTGATTTGCTAATATTAGCCACCTAAGGGGCTATTGTTTTAGATGGATCAATTTTGGAGTGCTAGATTACTTTTCAATTTTTTTTTATCGTTTGCTTCAATTTTAATCACATGTAGCTGATATAATATTCAATTTAATAATTTATCGTTTCCTTTAACTTTAATATCGGAAAATTTTACTATTGTCCATTTCTCGATATTTCATCGATTACTTTAATTCTTATATTTAATTGAGTGATTTAATAATAATTGTAAAAAAAAAGCGCACCTTGGGTGGCTAAATTTGATCTTTGTAAAACTTTGAATAGAACTTTCGGTTTATTTTTTATTTACTTTTAAGCACGTTATAAATTGGAAACTATTACATTCTTAAGTTTCGTAACATCAATTTTGAGACTCCTGGACGATGTTCCAAGGGGACAGATGTGTCCACTTGCCTCCCCCTCAAGCTAACATATGTCACTGGTAAGAGGGCGTATAACATCGAGTTTTGAATGTAATTCTGTGAAACAGTTTTGAAATTTTAACTATAATCGTTTGCGTTTTAATAAGAAAATTTTCATTAACAAGATTATATGTCTAGTCACCTTTCAGACTGAAAATCTGCCTTAGAACGAAGTTATAAGTAATGTCAGAGATCATTAGAGAGGGAGAGAGACGAACAATTAAGTTTTGTCACATGCATATACCGGTTTTCTTTCAATAAACTGGACGTGCAGTTATCTCATGCGCTATTTCCTTAATATCTTGAAAGCCATCACATTACTTTTGTTCCTAATAATAAGATATAATTCAATGTCGTTTTGTTTCTTTCTTTTTATGTATATTCATTACAGAGTTGGGAAAAAATATTTCAGAAATTGTTGGAAATATCTTAATTTTAAATCAATAACATTCGTGAGGTTTTCTTCGCTTTTTCTTATTTGAGTTTAGTCACAGAAAATATTCAAGATAAATTTTAAATACTATATTTTTTTTTCTATGCATGTTTGGTTTCATCATAATATTTGAGTGATATATTTTTATTTATCGTAACACTTCAAAAATTTTAATAAAAAATTAATTTTTAAGTAAAAAAAAAAACCAATATTGACATTCACTTTAGAGTTATAAAATTTTCCTGAACAGAGCGCCTGTAAATTTCTTTGAATATGCTTTCTTTTTTAAAATTTTTTTTACTAATTGTCAATTGCATATTGGATTAAAAGGGCCTCTTTAGTGACAATATTTTACAAAACATATCGTGACTTCATTCGGTAATTTCTAAAAGTGAAATCGATGAAGTCTCTTTTATATATTTCAAAGGTTGAATTTTTTTTTTTTTTTTTTTTTTTTTTTTGGGGGGGGGGACATTTTTCTTACATCATTTTGAAATTTTGCTTTTAGAATTGTCATTTAATCATTAGAGAAATATTTGTCTTACATAGCACTTTATAAAAACAAATTATTGTAATTATTTGCGATATTAAAAATCTCATAAGACCTCAAATTAAAAAAAAAAAAAACGATAGTAATCGAAAAAAGGAAATTGAACACTGAAACCGAAAAATAAATAATTGGTTTAATATCATGTTTGTTCCGCTACTTAAGTAAACCAACTTCGTAAAAAAAAGTTGAATGCAAAGTTTTGCAAATAAAAGATTTAACCACTTCAAGGTGCACTTTTTTTTAATAATTACTATTAAACTATTCAATTAAATATAATAACTAAAGTAAACGGTGAAATATCACTTTTCCGATATTAAAATTAAAGGAAACGATAAATTATTAAATTGATTATATTCAAGCTAAATTAATTAAAAATAAAACAAGCAATGAATTATTAAACCGAATATATTTAAGCTAAATGTAATTAAAATTGAAGCAAATGATAAATTATTAAATTGAATATTATATCAGCTACATATAATTAAAATTAAAGCAAATGAAAATTGTTTTATTGAACATATTTAAGCCAGATGTAATTAAAATTGAAGCAACTGATAAAAATTGAAAAATGATCTGGTTCGCCAAAAGTGATCCAACTAAAACAATAACCATTGAATGGCTAAAAAAATTACATGAAACAATGTTCACTAGAACTGACTCGAAGTACAAAATAGTCGAAGTTTGCTATAATGAAGATAAATCTGTTTTTTCAGCCACTCAAGGGGTTATCGTTTTGGTTGGATCACTTTTGGCGTACCAGATAAATTTTCTTTTCTTTTTTTTTTTTTTTTTAATGTTTACTTCAATTTTAATTACATTTAGCTTAAATATATTCAATTTAAAAATTTATCGTTTGCGTTTATTTTAATATCAGGAAAAGTTTACTACTGTCCATTTCTCGATATTTCAACATTTATTTTAATTCTTTTATATATTTGAGTAATTTAATAATAA